TTCATCAAGATTTTGTTAGACATATTTAAATAATTCAAGCATGAATTTGATTAATTTGATTATTAAAAATTATATAATAATAATAATAATAAAACTAATGCATTGTAATGTAAATTGTATAGGAGTATATAATGTTCGAATTTATTTTCATAACAAAAAAACTGTAGGGGTAAAAATGAAACTTTTGCCATTTGAGAGCTTGTACTTTGCTCTTTCCGTCGGTTTCCTCCCGCTCCTCCGCCAAATCGCCGGCTTTGTCCTCTCTCTCAACTCCATTATCTACTGAGAGAAAGATAGTAGAAAGTCGATTTAAGATCAATTTTTGCTCAATTAGAACTCTTTGTATCCAGTGACATTACCGGATATACGATCACAATCGATTTGTAGAATCTAGTCAAAGTTTCTACAGGTATAGATGGGAGTAATCGATTTGATAACAAGAGTAGATGTAATATGCAAGAAGTACGAGAAATACGACGTCGACAAGCAAAAGGATGCCACCAACAATATCAATCGGAACGATGCATTCGCCGGACTTTACACCGCCATTGAATCCGATCTGAATCAAGCTGTGGAGGTAATTAGATCTTTATGATATCAAAAGACTTTATTATCACGTTGTGTATGTTGTTTCAGATGTAGTTTTGTTTTTGGTTTGTGTAGAAATCGGAGGTTGCTGCGGCGGAAAAGAACAGGGCCACGGCGGTGGCGATGAACGCCGAGATTCGACGGACGAAAGCTCGGTTACTCGAAGAAATTCCCAAATTACAGCGTTTAGCTTTCAAAAAGGTTTACATGCTCATAACTTAAATATTTAAGGACATATACATCAATTATATATTTACATTACTTCTAACTTACAATTTAGGAATAAACAAATTTTACTTTTTATGGGAACATTCGTTATTTGTTTCTTTTTTATCTTTTCTTTTTAAACGGCTTCCACTAGCACATATTAATTTAAACATTTTGTAAATTTCCAATATGGTTAGGCCAATACATTAAACTAAACGTTATAGTTAAAGTTAAAGGTTAATGCCACAAAAATAATTATTTATATGCTCTTTAAATGTTTTAACAACTTTGATTTTTGTTCTTTATATGTTATATTATATTTTGATTTTTTTTTTTCATTTATTGGCAATGAAGGGATTACCATGTTATGATGGTGGGTCCTGTTCTTTGATGTTGAAATATATAATAATACATATTTTAGTAAAAGTTTGGCCTATAATAAAGATATTCCTAGTTGTACTCAATCGCCATCTACGATATTTATTAAATTTAGGATCTAACTTTATGTCTAACCAACAATAGAATACACATAGTGTACTCACCAACTAACACACCTCACCCTCGAAGATAAGTTGCGGGTTTTATTCTTGCCTTCAATGCATTCCTATTTCATTTCAAACTATTACATTTTAAAATATCTATTGTTGACCAATCCATGGCTAAAAATAAAACAAAAAAATCCAAAACATAATGGCAAATAGGAAACAAAAGAAAATGTTGAAGCTAAATGGGAAGTGAGAAGTAAATGTTACGAGTTGAAAATGAGAAAAAAAAAATCCACCATTATATAAGATTTTGGGGTCTTAGAATATCAATTAACTTGGATAATTTCTGGGATCGTAATTGCAATCATTTCCAAAATCTATGATTTTGACCCTTATGTGTGGGGTATCACGAAATCTGATTTTGGATAATCCAAGAGATGCAATTTGGAAATCATGTCACTTCCAAATTCGAAACACAGAAAAGTATACCTTGTTGTTTTGTGTTCTTTAGAGATAAAGAGAACCAGAAGTATAATTTTTAAGAGTAAGTTTTGTAACCCGTTTTCTAGAACATGCAGTATGTTCTTATACAAGAAGGAAAAGTAGTTGGTGGTAGCTACATGCAATTTGGAGCCAAATAAGTGGTTGGGTATATGGTTATAAGACATAACCGGTTCTGACATCACAGTGATGTCACCACCGCTAGGAGCTTTGCCCCGTGGACCCCGCTAGGGGTGCTGCCCCTAAACTCCGCCAAGAGGCTGCAACCCCTTGGAACCCTACACCCATGGGCGCTGCCCCCAGACCCTTGTATTCCTGAGTTCACAATTATCACATCGAGTGTACACACCGCACCTCAAAGTCCGATTAGTAAATTAAACTCTGCCTATCTCATTATTAGTAATAATTACACCATAATATGTTGATAACATTAAAATCACCAACATTCCTCCCCCATTTTAGTATAATCCTTAATTAACTAAAAGCAAACACAAAATCACACTTATGCATAAATGAAAATATCTTGAAATTGAATTTTCACATTACTACATTAGTATAATATACATGTCAAACACTCGAGCATCAGGGTGTCCTAAGGATTGAACCCATCCACTCATTTGAGTAACTGAAGATACTATACACATAAATTAAATACAATATCTAATGTTTCATACTTGACACTATTACAGCCATGTGTTCTATACATTCATGAGTGCATAAAAGCCTAGCCCAAGCTTTCTGAAGCGACATCACTTCACACTTACATAAGTAGTCCTTCTATATCATGCACCTATTAATGCACTTTTTCAAAAGAACTATTAAGAACTTAATGAAACTACTTTAACAATACAATTTATAAGCACATACCTTGGGATGTAGTAAACAAATGTGCTTCAATCTCCATATGTAAGCTTTCCACATTGAATTCAACTTCTAACCTTGTATTAGAAAGGATCTGGGTATCTCACCCATATAGATATCAAGTGGGCCTTAAAACCATCCCTATAACAAACTTCTTTACCAAGTCTCTAGCTAACCCCTTCATCAAGTGATCAGCTAAGTTTTGTTGAGATCGAACAAACTCAACATAAATGATACCATGAGTAATGAGCTCACGTACCATGATGTGCATAGCACCCAAATGTCACAACTTTACATTATACACTTGATTGTATGCTTTTGCCAAGGTGGAAGCACTATCATAGTGTATAGAAATAGGTGATATAGGCTTTGGCCACAAAGAAATTTCATATATAACATTCGTTAACATTCTGCTTCTTTTCCAGCAGTTGCAAGGGATACAAATTCAGATTCTATAGTTGAATTTGTGATGCATGTTTGTTTCTTAGAATCCCATGAAATGACACCTCTACCAAGAAGAATCATCCAACCACTTGTAAAAGAGTGGTCCTCAACATTAGTGATCCGACTAGCATCTGAATATCCTTCAATAACTGAAGGAAACCCTACATAAGTCAAACCAAAATCCATGTTTTTCTTTAGATACTTCAGCACTCTCCTTACTGCTTTCTAGTGATGAGTACTAGGATTGCTAGTAAACTTACTTAGCTTCCCTACAACAAATGCAATATCAGGCCTTATGTTGGTCATAACATACATTAAACACCCAATAACCTTTGAATACTCAAGTTGTGAAACTACTTCACCACTATTTGACATAAGTTTCATACTTGGATCAAAATGTGTACTTACAGGAGAACAATCAGAACAATTGAACTTCTTAAGCATTTTCTCAATGTAATGAGACTGTGAAATTGAGATTCCTTGATGTTCACGCTTGATTCTTATTCCAAGAATCACTTCTGCATCCCCCATATCCTTCATAGAGAACTGAGATGATAAAAACTATTTGGCCATGTCAACTTGCCCTTGATCAGTACCAAAGATTAACATATCATCTACATACTAGCATATGATCACTCCTTTTCCAGACTTATCAAACTTGTTGTATACACACTTGTCTGATTGATTCAACTTGAAACCATGTGACAAGACAACATCATCAAATTTCTGATGCCATTGTTTTGGTGCTTGCTTTACCTTATACAATGATTTAACTAACTTGCACACCTTATGCTCATTTCCAGGCATAACAAAACCCTCAGGTTGTTTTATATACACCTCTTCCTCTAAATCACCATTTAAAAGTGTTGTTTTAACATCCATTTGGTGAATCACCAAATTATAAATTGTTGCTAAGGCAATTAGCAGTCTAATGGTGGATATACGAGCAATTGGAGCATAAGTGTCAAAATAGTCAATGTCAGGGTTTTGTCTAAAACCTTGAATAACCAACCGAGCATTAAACTTGTCAATTGATCCATCAACTTTCATTTTCCTTTTTAATATGCACTTGCAACCCAAAGGTTTGCATCCAGGAGGAAGATCAAACAACACCCTAGTATTATACCCAAACCCAACAAATGTACCACACTTAGTTAATACATATTTATCATATTCATAGACCTGTTTATATCCACATCGATTAATTTACACCACCAGAAACTAAGTTCTTCCTAATCTTAGGAACATGAATAACATTCTTAAGAATAAGAGTTTTGTTCTTCTTCAAACAACAATCTCGTTTCATGTGACCATGTTTGTTGCAATTCCAACACACAAGTTTTGCTTTCTTGTTTGAACCCTTATGATGGTCATCTTTCTTCTTCTTTTTACCTTTGTTATTTTTCTGATGTTTTTCATCTTCCACCATGTTCACTGAATATCCAGGAACTTCCTTTTCTTTTCCCTTGCCACTTTCTTGAACCCGAAGATCCTCTTCAATTCTCAAGTGACTGCCATGTTGTACTAGAGACAACTCTTATTTTTGGTGTTTCAGTGTGTGTTTAAAGTCTTTCCAGGATGGGTACAATTTGTAATAACACTTGAGACAAAAATGGATTCATCCATTTGCATTTCGTGTAGTTCAAATTGTCCTAAAATCCTCATGAGTTCATTGTACTATTCCATGACAGGCTTTGAATCCACCATCTTGTAATTATTAAAATTATTGACAAAGAATTTCTTACTTGAGGAATCCTCTGTCATGTATTCAGATTCAAGGGCATCCCATAGATCCTTTGCAGATTCTTGATTTTGATAGATGTCAAAGAGAGAGTTAGACATACCATTTAGAATATGCCCACGACAGATGTAATCATCATTTTCCATTTGCATGTTCTTCTGGTATGTTTAAGGGTTTCATCCTCCATTGGTTCTGGTCAGGAGTGCTCAAAACGTGAACAACTTTCAGGGTAGTAAGAAGGAAATGCATCTTCTTCTACCAGCGACGAAAATTAGTGCCTTCAAACTTGTCCAACTTCTTGAATTTGGAAGTCATGTCTTTAACAGATTCTGCCATTGATATTCTTCACAAAATCACAGATTTTGATTGCAAGATTTTGTGGTCTTAGAATATCAATTAACTTGGATAATTTATGGGGTCGTGATTTCATTCACTTTCCAAAATCTGTGATTTCGACCGTTATGTCTGGGGTATCACAAAATCTGATTTGGGATAATCCACGAGATGCAATTTGGAAATCAGGTCACTTCCAAATTTGAAACACAACTAAATATACCTTGTTGTTTTGTGTTCTTTGGAGATAGAGATAACCATATGTATGATTCTTTTCATTTGGAAGTTTATCAAGTCATCATAAATTGTTCAAAATCAAACACCCAAGTATAATATTCAAAAAATTAGAGTACAATTATTCGGAATGTGAAAATCATGAGGGGAGGATGTTGTGCTATCACTTCGGGCCCTTCCCTTTCGAACCAGAAGTACCTGAAACCATAAACAAAACTATAAGCACAGAGCTTAGTGAGTTCCCCAAATTACCACATACCACACACAATATAACGAATGCTTTGGATCGAAACATAGTCTTACAGTCACTTTTTGCCATGGGCCAAATCATGGTCTTTCCTTACAATGTCGAGGGCCAAATCCCGGTCTTTCATACAAATTTCAGGGCCAGATCATAATCTTTCATACATTTGCGATGGTCTAGATCCTGGTCTTTCATGTAATTGCCAGGGGCTAGATCGTGGTCTTTCATGCAGTATCATAGAGACAATTAGCATTCTACACAACAAAGTAATGGGTCGACATTGGTTCCATCGACCCATGGATCTAGTGAGGAGACTCACCTCCACGAGAAGATAAATGAGCCGCA